CTAAGCATGGATCTGTTTCCTTCAGATTTTTAGGACCATACTGCTTCTATTTTCAAACCAGACATGCTTTCTAGGATATTTGATTTCCGAAAGAGCTGGGTAAACTTCATGTACTCTCAAAACAGTAAATATACCACAATTGTACTACAGGGCAGTATTTCCCAAAACTCACTGATAAGCTAAAACAACCTGGAGCTTTCAAAGAAAAAAAAAAAAGAAAGAAACAGAGCTCAGTCCTATCATTGACTTACTAAGTGGTTTATTATATTTTAGAAGCTCTCAGGATAATTTTGGTGAAGCTATATTGGACCCTCTTGTATCTGACAATTACATGGAATTTTTAAATGTAAACGCTGGCAAGAAACTTGAAGGTGGTTGAATTTAGCTACATATACTGTAGTGGAGGAAACCGAAGCACAGATAGATTATGCAGTTTACTCAGACTCTCTTCGCTACATGTGAGTATCTGTGGGATTTAGGATCCAGTGCCTTGACTCCTGCTCACAGTTCACTCACTATCATGTTGTCATTCAGAGTAACTTTCACCAGAGAAGTTTAAAGACCTCATTCTGTATAGGATCCTTAGCTCATGGAGCTGACATTGCAGAAATGTACTCTTTGCCAAGACGCCATCACATTGATTTCAGATGCTTTTTCTGCTCTTTGACACTCTGTCCTTACAAAGTAATAGATCTAAAGGGGTCTAGGCTAGGGCCACAACATCACCAAGGTTGTCGTTACTGCCCTGCAGGTGAGAGCACAGAAGCTGTTCTCTGGTTTTGGTTTCATCGTCTGCATTGCAGAATACCAAGATACTCTGTTCCCATTCGTGTCCATTGCCATCCACTAAGTTGTCTTACCATAGCCTGTGGCTTAGTACACCATCATATTTTTATGAAGAAGAAAAGAAATACAAAACAGAGAATGTAAAAATCCAATTCAAGTCAAGGCATATTTTGCATATTCTAACCAGTTTAACGGCCCCATCATAAGTGTTTTTAAATATCAAAAGGTAAAATGTTAGAATTGCCTGGATACTAATTAAGGGAGAAAATGCTATTGTCTATAATGAACAGTGGTATTTTGTTAGAGAGAAAAGGAAAACTTAAAAATTCAAATACTTTTTTTTTTCCTGTGACTTCTTTTTTTCCTTGGCTCCCCTTTTCTCTCTGAGAGTGCCTTTAAACAACTTAGAAAAGCAGAACTTTGAAATTGAACAACTTGGCTGTTCCTTGAACAGTGGGTGGGGTGACAGTCATGAGAAGGTCCTTAAATAGAAGCACCACTTCTTCTGTTCTGTCCAGGGATGGATTCTTTGAATCCCGGGAACTTATGTTCATTCTTCTTTCCTGTTTTTTGGGTGGGGACCACTGTGTGTGGGGTGTGGTGGGGAGATAGTTGTCTTTCTAAATTTATCATTTTTTTTTTTTTTTCGAAACAAAGCCTCACTCTGTCACCCAGGCTGGAGTGCAGTGGCACGATCTCGGCTCACTGCAACCTCCGCCACCTGGGTTCAAGCAATTCTCATGCCTCAGCCTCCTGAGTAGCTGGGATTACAGGCACCTGCCACAGTGCCCGACTAATTTTTGTATTTTTAGTAGAGATAGGTTTTCACCATCTGTTGGCCAAGCTGGTCTCAGACTCCTGACCTCAGGTGATCCACCCGCCTTGGCCTTCCAAACTGCTGAGATTACAGGTGTGAGCGACGGCACCCGGCCTCAAATTTCAATTTAAATATTTAGAAGCTTAGAGATTTCTGACACCAACTGATGTATACATACAGTAATAGAAGATGCTTTTCTCTCTACCATTAGCATTTGAGGGGATTGCTATGAAGATTGGAGACACTTCACTGCACTCAAGATGGGCGTCTTTTGTTTGCCCAGTGTTACAAGCTTGTTTTGTTTTGCCTTCTTTTGCATTAATATTTTGAATTTTATCTCAGCAATACTGATTTCAGTTAGAACTTTGTATTGCTTTAAAAGGAATGTTCTATTTAGAGAGTCTCCAACAGACTGGAAGCAAAATAAGTCAACTCATTCTTGGATTATAGTCTAGTTGAAAATAGCCTACATAACAATTATATTTCCTGCTTAAAATACACATCTGCACCCTGAAAATTTAACAAATAATGTCTACTTTTTGTATTAACTTGCTAGCAACCACTTATTTTTTCTTTACAGATTTTGAAACTTTCCATTTGTAATAATACTATTCTTTAATGATTACTGATCCCTTAATTTTTACTTTACAAAATATTTATATACATATATGGGCTTATATTTTAGAAATATATAAAACTTGGCATTAACCATTTTACACTATAAATTTAATCAATAGTAACTAAATTGGCTAAATTAAAATTAAAATCATTTTTTAGATCAATGTTTATATCTATAATAGAGTTTTCAGTCGTGGTTCTATCAAAGCAATTTTGTGTCATTGGACAATTAGAGAAAACCCTGGATAAAAAAACAAAATAGATTTAGTTTCTACTCTGAGTTTAACAGTGTAACGGGCAGAGTGAAAACATCATAAAATAATTAGAAAATATCTTAGTCCTAATATTTTAGCCAGATCCCTGACATTATTGAAATTAAGTCTTTTTTTTTTTTTTTTTTTTGAGACGCAGTTTCGCTCTTGTTACCCAGGCTGGAGTGCAACGGCACGATCTCGGCTCACCGCAACCTCCGCCTCCTGGGTTAAGGCAATTCTCCTGCCTCAGCCTCCTGAGTAGCTGGGATTACAGGCACGCGCCACCATGCCCAGCTAATTTTTTGTATTTTTAGTAGAGACGGGGTTTCACCATGTTGACCAGGATGGTCTCGATCTCTTGACCTCGTGATCCACCCGCCTCGGCCTCCCAAAGTGCTGGGATTACAGGCTTGAGCCACCGTGCCTGGCCGAAATTAAGTCTTTAATAGTAACCATTGTACTATATACATGTACTTATGCATATCCATGTATCTTAGCGTATCCTGTAACATTCGGTCATAAACCTCAAATATATAAAAGAAAATGTATTTAAAAAACAAAAAGATAAAAGGAGTAACAGCTGAGTGGAGACTTGGAAAGTACAGGAGTAATCCAGGCAAGGAAAGAGGCCAGACATTGTCATTCAACTGTGCTCTTCTCATAATGCACACACAGGCCCTGGAACAGTGTAGTTACCCAATAAACTTCTGTTAAAAAAAAAAAAAAAAAAGGATGAAATCACTGTTGGCCCAAGGCTACCACATTCATTTCTACCAATCATTCTCTGTAAGAATATCCCCCTGTGGGCAGCGGGACACCCACAAATCCGTGAGCCCTACTAAGAGTTGTGCCTGTCCAGAGAAAAGTGCTCCTTTTCCTAGTTTACTGGGCAGCTTCTGCTCTTCACGCCAAGTGCTCACAGAGCAGTCCGCAGAGGGAGTCTCTTTCCAATTGACCCAAAGGAGATATATGGGACGCTGATGATTCCACTGTGCAAGGTTTCATGGATGAATTGGGTTCTTGAAAAGGTCATTGTAATGGTGATGATTTATGATGTGGCTCAACTTGGGGGGAGTTTTTGCATGTGGGTTGGGGGCAGATTTAGCATAAGTTAAGGTACAGAGTCTGAGATGAATGTTATATGTGCAGTAGTCAGTGAAGAGACTAGATTGATTGGAACAAAATGTGCATGTCTGATAAGTAGCAGATTAAATGGGAAGGTGAGCAGAGGTCACTTTGTGAGGGCTCTGAATGCTGTGGAAGGAATTTGGATTTTATCCTCCAGATGAGAAATCATAGGCACTTGTCCCAGTTCATCCTAGGATCAGTGATATCTTATTTAGTAGATTAACCCAGGATTATGCAGCATAGAACAAAAGGAGAGAGAAATGATTAAAGGGAAGGAGATAAGGTTAGAAGTGGCTATATATAGTACATGTTTTTAGTATCTAGCCCAGGATCGAAGTAATGAGAATGAAAAGGAAGAGCTGATGTGTTAGTGCTTTCCTATATATGAGCATTTTGATTGCTTCCAGTCTTTCTAATTATTGAACATATTTCCATGGGCATAAGTGAATGAATAGTCAGTGCTTATCAGTTACATCAGCTGAAGTGTAGTGCCTACCATACACTAACTTCTGTAAGCAGAGCAGAGGAATTCCAATTTAATCGTATCCTCAGTAATCCTTTTTTAAATTCTTGCCAGTCTCATCTCTGTGAAATAGTATCACTTTTTCATATGTGAAATAATATCTCTCTTTGCATTTCTCTGATAATCAATGAAGCCTAGCCTATTTTCATATGTTTGTTGACCATTCAAGCTTCTTGTCTAGAATATGCCCATTTTTTCTCTTGCATTTGTCTTTAGTTTTGTATATTCTGGATACTAATCTTTTGACAGTCACGTAGTTTGTCAGGGTATTCTCCCAGTATTTCTCTGATCTCTTAATTTTGTACATTAGGCATTTTATATTGAAAAATATATTGTAGGCAATTTATTAAGCTGTTTATTTATGATTTAGGCATTTTCTATCTTGAGTAACAAGTTCTTTAATGTCAAACAATTTCCGCCTGTATTTTTTCCTAGATTAAATTTTGGGTTAATTATTTCGTACTCAATTTTTAATTTATGTGACACTAATTTGCATAACAGGTAATTTTTCAGATTAAGGAAAATGAAAAGTGGAAAAGAAAAGGGAAATTTTGTAAACTGTATTACAGTTTTCTTTGTAAGTCCATAATTGAACCATGATGATATTTTTAATTTTTATATATGACCAAAACATATCCACATCCATCACGGTTTGTGATATTGAAAATTAATGTCTTTTTCATTGATTTTTACAAGAAATCTTTCAAAGTTCACCTTCATGAAGTCTTTGCAGAGAGGTTACTTCTAATTGGATTGAATATAAGTTCCTTTCACACATATTTCCGGCCTTAGTCTCCATAACTTCTTGCATATGTCCAGAGGGAATACATTGTCATTTTTAAAACAGTTAACATAAGATTCATTTTACTTTCAGCAATTCACAGAGGCTGTGAGTCCTTCAGTGTTACCCCCTTCAGTTTTGCCACTGGACCTGCTTAATAATGCTATAACTGCCTTTACTACCTTGGAAGACCTTATTCGATATCTTGAACCAGATAGATGGCAGTTGGACATAGAAGAACTATATAGGCCAACTTGGCAAATTCTTGGCAAGGCTTTTGTTTTTGGAAGAAAATCCAGAGGTAAGCTCCTTCTTCAGATTAGAGCCTCACTTAATTTTCTTAGCAGCTAATGTTTCAAATTCCTTTGCCACAGCTTCTAAAGGGTAGAGTTTAAAATTCATCAGTAATATATTCAATAAATTTTCTTAACATTCAGGCATATGTATATATTGAATAATAATATATACAAAAGGAAAAACTTAGTTATAACCCAGTGAGTGTGGAAAATTGAAAGGGATACGTCTGCAAATTCCGGTTATATTTCATCTTCAAAAATATCATTTTGATGAAGGCCTTCGTTGCATTTTACAAAAATCATTGCTTATTCAAACCTAATACTTGGCATATGCTGACTTCGAGATTCAAGAGAAATTATCATAGCTGCAAAACCAGGTTGGGGTAGAAAAAGGGGATGTGCTACAAAAGTGTTTGTCTACAGTGTCTCCCCTGAGTCAGTATTACATCGCTTTGCATTTTCTAAGCCTGGACACCTATAAAAAATATGAAAAATGACATTGACCCAACATAAAGTAGAATTAGTAGTTTTCAAGGTAGCATACATAGCAAGAAAACAAGAACCTAAAAGAACCCAGAGCATAATAATTTTTTTTAATTTGCTGTTGAAATAATAACTTTTGCCCATTTGGGCGGATCTTTCTCTAAGAGTGAAGTGAAACCCCATTCTACATGGCCAAGAAACTGGAAATGATGTTAACTGAGTTTTCTCTAAGTTTACCTAATTTTTTTCATAACATTGGAATTGAAAAGTATACATATCAGACACAAATGAAAATGTATAGAAATAACTGTTTATTTACAGTGCACTAAAAAAATCCGTTTTAGTCTGTCAGAAGCATTGAAATCTACCACTTTAGAGAAAGTAATGACAGCCTAGAGAATTTATGTGAAAGGAACAATGTTCAGTTAATTTGAGCCATTCGCAAGGGCAGATTGCAGCAGACTTGCTCTTCTAAGTCTTGTCAGAAGGAAACCCAGTTCCTGCCCTTTCGTGCTCTGAGAGTGGCAGAGCTTTTGGATCACAAGCTTTCATCTCGGCAGGTCATGTTCAGACTTGCCCAGCCCTGGTATTTCATTATGCCAACAGACGTGGTTTCCTTTTGGCAATATCTGAAATCGGCGTTCAAGTGCATGGGCAGCCGAATCCTATCCAGATGCCGAAAGCTGTTACATATTTATAAGATTTGATCTTGATGAATAACTTGATGAATAACTTACAAACAACATTTCCCTTCCCTCCCACTTAGGAACAGGAAGATGAAGATCTGCAAGACTAGCTGAAACATCCATGAATAGAGCCCTTGTTAGCAAATTTGAAGTTGATTATCATGTTGATCTGTGAGAAGCAGGGGCAGTGAATCAGGTTCTAAACTGAGATCTAGTTTTTTGACAGCTGATTTCTGGATTTGAGCCTAAAAACCTCCCTTCTAGTCAAGCCTTTGTGTCTGAAAGATTTGGCCAGAGGCTAGCTTGCATTCAAAAGCATCGGAAGCTGAACCAGGTCTTTCAAATATTCATTTAACACTTTCAAAATTGAAGCCCTTTGCAGTTTGCCAAAACTATTAACTTTTTAAGCATACAGTAAGTGTGAGAAAAGCAGTGTATATTTTTGGAACTTTACATAAACTAAAATGCAGGCGTGGGATAACATCTATGTAGACAAAACCAACTCCCCTCCTGAGAGTATCTCTACAAAGGAATAAGGAGTAAAACTTTTAAAAGCATCTAATTAGACATTGAAATAGATTTTCCACAGAATAAACATATCACAGTGTTACCACATTCATCTTAGAAAGACCACCCTCAGATTACATTACAGTGATAGACTATCTTTGGACTGAATATCTTAAAAGAATGAAGGACTAACAAAGAAAAATATAACCTTTTTTGTAGTAAAACTTAAAATATTGATGATATTTGCTTTTAGAAATAATGATTTTGCTTGGTGATGTGCTCAAAATCTGCATTCTTAAGAAAAACAAACTAATATGTCTTTTGTCTTAGGAGATAATTATGAAAAGGAAAGAAAACCTGAACACCAACTTTTACTTTACAAATATGTTGTGAAGGGCAACTTCTTTAATATTGTACTTAAGCTATTTACAAAGTATGCTTTGGGGCATTATCTTTCTTTTTTCCTTTTCCTTTTTCTCTTGTTGTTTTTTTTTTTTTTTTTTTTTTTTTTTTTTGCCTTTTTGCCCCCTAAAAGCACTATACAGTGTTACAAGAATATATGACACAGGACTTATTTTAATGAAGCTTCTATGTGTTTGAAGCCTTAGCAGTAGGCAGCATAAATTTCAAACATGAAATACCAAATTTAAAATCCTTAATTATATTTTTAGAAAACTGTGGACTGCATTAATGCTTTACTTTTTTCCTTTCACTTTCTTCCTCTAGTTCAGGGTTTTCATTCATCCCTTGCTACTGCTACAAAAAAAAAAAAATACTGTATTTTCTAAGTCAAGCTTAACTAGTACTTAAAAAGGGCTTTTGACTTTTGTGTCAAACATGATAAATGAGTGGAAGCTAAGTTAAAAGTGTGTTTAAATTTTCACATTGTAGCAGGTATCACAACTTAGTTCACTTGGGAAATCTGTTGAACCTTTTATTGTGGTTAAGTAAACATTTTAAAGGGAACATATACAATCTCTTTCTATTATCATGAATTATCATATTTAAAACTGTTTGACATAGGTGAATATGCTTTGAGAGCTGAGAGCTTCTTCACTCACATGCTAAAGAAGTATAGTTCTTAAATAAGCATTGAACATTTTGGCAGCCAGATTTTGTGTTTGTTCATATTTCTAAGTCTTCTTCCTCCTTGCCCAGGCATTAACTACTAGAGAAAAGATTCAAATAAGCTCATATATACTTTCAACAACAAAAGAGGAATGTGTATATATACTATTAGATCAGCAAAATGAAACCAAAATATGTGATACCATTTAGAATAATGAGCTCATTACTTTTAAGGGATAAGTTGGTCTATTCAGGGCATTTGAAAGAAGGATTTGCTCTTAAATATTTAAAAGCTTTGCTTTCACAGGATCATTTTCAGATAAAAAAGAAATCTTTCAGTAGCCAAATGAAACAATGATTTTCCCTTGAGTTAGAAAAATAATGTTTTAGCTCAGTAAGGTGTTGAAATGGACTCATTGAATTAGAATTTCTATGGTGCTTTCCTAACACTTGACTCAAATTTTAGTCTACCATACAGTTTACATACGTTAAGAGTTTCCAATTTACTTATGGATAATTTTATAATACATTTCGTAAAATACTTAAATTATCAAGAACAATGAAGACAATTGATCACATATATAGCAAATTCAAAAAAATAAGCATTTGATTCTTAATTACCTTGTCATTTAAAAATTAATAAAAATTAGCTCTTAATTAAAAAAATTAGATTACATCATGACTATTTCTACTTGAAGCCATCTTTAACCAGAAAATATTTTCTTTTTTTTTTCATTCATGTCTGTTTTCCATATTAGGGGAAAAGTATTTAACTAAGTTTATTATATTTTTGATATTTCTAAATTATAAAAAATATTTAAAAGAAAAAAAAAACCTAAAGGAACATATGTTTTCTCATAGTATTCAATGTCATTGGCATTGCTTTATTTGAATATTTCTAGGGAAAAAAAATAGGAAGAGATATAAGGCAGACAATAAATTACATTAGAAGTGTTTATTCTAATAGTAATTACCTACTGTTCATGTGATATGTATAAATTCATATTGAACATGAAATGTTATTTTGATATAATTTTCCTGAGGCAGAATCATTTTGTAGTTAAAAGCAGTGGTTCTCTGAGGATTTATTGCAACAATCTGATGAAAGAATATTTTGTTCAGTTCTCAAAAGTAGATATTCTTTTGTAGAATAAAGCACAAACCACATAGTTAACCAACTTGTTAAAGGAATAGAGACAGGTTATAAATTAGATATATTAAACAGTTATTCCACCCTTTAGCAGGGGAAAGATAGTGACCTGAAGGAGTTTAGTTAGGCTAAATTTCCAAGATGAGAAATTATTCAATACATTTGAAGCAGTCCCTTCCTACAACCTCTGCTCTTATAAAATGTGTCATTTTTTTTCACTCTTAGTCTACACAGCTGTTTGAAAGTGTGCATTTTCTTCATGCATTTTTTTATATTTTATGATTCTTATTGCCATAGAGATTACAGAAAGTACTAATGACAAGTTTCAATATATTCTTCACTAATTATAAGAGCTTTAAATCCTTTTAGGAATTTTGTTTTTCATCAAAGTATTCATCATTTTGCATTTTATTCTCGCTGTGTCTTTTTTTTTTTTTTTTTTTGCTAAGGTTAAAACGTGTGGCCCTTTTTGTCTCTAATAAAGTTTCCTATTTGTAGCGTTCAACTGTTTTGTTGGCTCTGTTCTTAATATTACACAATGGCATCTCTTTACTGGTTGCTAGGTCATAATGAAGCTTTGTTTACTATGAAATAGTCCGATTTGTAGTTATATATCTCTAAATTCTACTTAAAATAAGAGGGGTTATTGTTACGGATACTGTTCATGAAATAACATAAGATTTCTTTATGAAGAGAGCTTAGTGAAATACATTCAGGCCCAAAGCATCAGCATCTATTTTTCTTTGCTTTCTTTTATGCCATATAGTGGTGGATCTGAATCTTCTAACAGAGGAGGTAAGATTATACAGCTGCACACCTCGTAACTTCTCAGTGTCCATAAGGGAAGAACTAAAGAGAACCGATACCATTTACTGGCCAGGTTGTCTCCTGGTTAAACGCTGTGGTGGAAACTGTGCCTGTTGTCTCCACAATTGCAATGAATGTCAATGTGTCCCAAGCAAAGTTACTAAAAAATATCATGAGGTAGGTATATAATTTTCCTTTCGGTTTCCTTTGAGTATTTTATGTCTTAGAACAAAACAGTGAATCTGAAATGCATGTATGTTTGGACAAAAGATGTAGTATTCATGAGGAAAAAAACAAGGTTTACAAATGGTTTATGTTTTTATTTTTTAAAATTAGCAGCTTTAATTAAAATTCCAGATTTCAGGGATTTACAAAGCTTATTCTCTGGTAATACAACACGAGTGGTCAGTGAAGTTTTTGCCTCTCATACCAAAAAAAAAAAAAAAAAGTCTTTTCTGAGGAAAAAATAGTAAAGATTTTCAATTTTTAAACTTATCAAAATATGAAGGAAAAATATTTCAAAGACATGCTCAGAGATACATTATTATCTACTTTGGAGAAAGAACATCTTTGATATTTATTTTTCTGCTTGGAGCAACAGAGACTCCTAAGATGACATATTCATAATTGTGCTAAATGCCATATTATTTATGTTTGTTCAAATAACATGTTAAATGTTGCATGGATTTTTTTTAACCTTTCATCTCTTTATTCTCTAGAATGAAAGAAAGTATTATATGACATGTTTGTAATTACCGTTTTTTAGAACCCTGGGAACCTTAGAACTTGTACACTTAACTTTTTGTTAGTGATGGAGTCTCCCAATTATATCCTACCATCTCCCCAGCAGCATCATATAGAATATTTCTATGAGGAAGCCATCCTTCTTGATGAGTCAGCTTCAATTTCTACAAAATATTTACATTAGATGAAGTCAAAATCTGCCCTTCCGACGTCATGTCAATATGACTGCCTTTCCTTTCATTTTTCCATTAAATAAGAATACAGGAAAAGATCTACTTAATAAGTAAAATGATTTTTCATACACATAAAGACCTCAGTGAAAGCCTTAATAGAAGTGAAAGCCTAGCTCTAGAATGTAAACTGGGTCCCTTGTCTTTGGGAATCCAGTGCTTTTTTTTTCCACTTTATCAAATGCCAACACAATATTGGTGAAGGGCAGGAACATCATGTCTTAGGAAGTACAGTTTTTGAAACCATGCATGATTAGGTTACCTAACAGATGAGGGTTTCGCTGAAGACTTTCTGCCTATGAAAAGTTATTTTATTTATTAGGTAGGTATTCATGTCATTTCTTGGCAAAATATAAATGTCATGAAGTAATTTTTAAATGAAGTCAGAAGGGCAGATTTTTATTGTTATTATTTAAAGGCTTTGTAAAATGTAAAATTGACTCCTCAAGAAGGATGGTTTCCTGATACACATTTGTTACCTGATGCTTCTGGAGAAGATGGGATGTAATTGAGGAAAACTAAAACATACTGTTGCATGATAATGTATTAATAAGATTCTTTAATCGTACTTTTTGTATCAGTCACTGGATCTCTTTGTGGGAAGACATTTTAGCGAAATAAATTTATGTTCTTAATGATTTTTCTAAGTCTCAGATAAGAATATTCAGAAAAGCAAGTCAGGAACTTTATATACATATAAACTTAGATGTCATATCTTCCTTGAAATGCTGGTGTCCTACTGGTCCTAGCATCTTTGGTGCATCTGTAGGGCTTTAAAGATACTCTATTAGAAAACTGTTACATTTCAAAATTATTGCCTATTTTTCTTTGTTTCTATTGAATTGAGAAGTAAGGAAAACAAAAATCACATTACAGTGTAATGCTTGAGAACACAAACTCCAAAGCTAGACATCCCAGGTTAGAACATAACATTTGTTTGTTGTGTGACTTTGAGCAAACTGCTGAGCCCTTGTACCTAAATTCCTCATCTGTAAGGTGAGTCTCCAATCATCATACTTTACTGTGAGGATTTAGTGGGTTGATATTTACAAAACACTTAGAATTAGGCCTGGCAATTTTCACGCCCTTCATATATGTTAGCGACTGTCTCACTCATCTTTACTTTTTCACCGTGCCTAGTCTTATTCTTTGATTAAAGTAAATGATCAAGAAAGATTTAATGAATTTTGCCCTGAAGGAGGAAAGGTGTTCTGGCCAAAAGGTCTACAGGACACTCTGACAATAGTATTTGTTCCGTTTTCTCTGTTCTTTGCTTAATCATTTTCATCTTGTTTATATTTTTACATACTTAATTTTTTATGAAACAATAGTCTTACAGTCTTAGGTTAGGTCTGTCTGTTTGGCACAAGAAGACCATTCAATTGTCTTATTCTAATACTGAATCTCTGTTCCCAGTGCTCTATGTTTCTCAGAAGTTTAAGGTCATTTTGTTTGAAAGTGTTGAGCAGTGGGCCATAAGCACCTGTCCTTTGCTGGTTCTCTCTGTGTCTGATCTAGTATCTTCCATAATCTCTGGCTCAGCTTCTCCCTGGACATTACTTTTCATGGACTTATTTTAATTTCAACCTCTAAATTTTCTGAGATGAACTTCTGCCCTGTTTCTTTTCTGGTGGCATAATCTATGTCCTTTTCCTTTTTAATATTTCCCGGAACCTGCTGATCATTTTCCAAGTCTACTTTTCTCTTCCAAAGTCAAAACTTTCAAGACGAATTAAAAAGAACACTAATTGTGTGCCCCACCATTAGAATTTCTTATCCAAGACTAAATTACTAGAACATTAGGAGATTCTTCTGCTATGTGGAAATCTCCATGAGCATCAGCAGACAAAGACAGGGGACTTTGATTCAGCAAATGCATCTTGGCATACGCATGCTAGAGAAAGCAAGGATTGCAGCTTGGCCTTTCTGAGTGTTAGGGCCGTATATGGTAGCCTCTCTAACCTTTACCTTACGTAGTAATGTTTTTCCTTGCTGAATGGAAAATGCATACAGGTAGATATAGGAACTGAAGACATTGGCTTTGCCAATATTGTAATTTATCTTACCCACCCAGCCTCATTCCAGAAACAGTTTGGAACAAGAGTATGATAAAGAATAGTGCCAGTATCTGAAATGTAGCTAGTTTGATCCCACCCTACATGATTCAAAAATAGTAAATCGGTAATAACATAAAATAATATTCAGTAACCATTGAGTTAAATTTCACATTAAAGAAATAAAGTCTAAGTAATTTTTATTCTAGGATTGCAAAATAGATGAGAAAACCACTTCTACTTTAAAAGTTTACAATTTCTAATAGTTATTACAAGACTTTGAAGTTCATCTCTTCAGGAAGAAAGTTACTAAATAAATAGAATGTTTGAGCAGTAATATTCTGAGTCTATAAAATTATTATCCATCACTCTAATAATTCGTCTTTGGCCTAAGTACAAATAAAGTCTGTGTCACTTACTCTCTTTAAGCCTCTGTTCACTCATGTGTAAAACAGGGGTGATGTAAATTACTTCATAGGATTCTTGTGAGTTAAAGTATGTAAAAACATTATTATTGTGCCTGGCACCCAGTAAGCATTCAAAAAATGTTAGCTAATTAACCTCTGATATTACCACATACTCCAGTGAGGTATGCATTCTCTGTTTTTCTTTTAAGTCTTTAAATAGAACAGTCATAAGACTTGACTTGTGCCTTTTTGGATTAATGAACATTTTCAGGAAAAATAGCTTGTAGAAGTTGCTTTATGAGGTTATCTGTATCATATCCAAAAAGGAGCGATGCTAGAAAATTTAATATTATTTTGTTCTCTGGCCTTTGTTCATAATCCAAACAAAATACAGTTTCTTAAACTTTGTTGTTTGTCTCATAAGAAATAAAATGTCATACACTAAAGTAGGTAGCAACATCAGGTACTTCAAATAATATTTTATAGAATGCACAACTATATCTTTTTGTCTCAATGTTAAGGGGAAATATGTGTAAGTGTCAATCTTGCTGTATTTTTACTAAAAACCTTGACAGTCCAAACTGCAAATAAGTTTATTTAATAGAGGCATTGTTGTTATTATTGCCAAACCTCTTCTCACTGCACAGTAGGATCCAGCTGCAGGAAGTTAGCTGTGACTGGAGCTGATGTCTATGAAGTACATCTAATCCATCTCATCAAGTTTATAGAGGACTTGAAGTGTAGCCAAGAAAGTTAATGAGTGGCATAATTGAGCAAACTCAGCTGTGGAGTGATCATGTTTCTTTCCACAGAATTTCTGTACTTGAGTGTATTGCATCAAGTATAAATATTTGTTAAATGTGTGAATAAATGAATGAGTGAAAGAAAGCAACAAACAGAAAAACGAATTGTGTATTGGTAGTTCCAAAATACTGAAGGTGAAATTCTCTCTAATATAGTCAGATAAAGAAAATAACTATTGCACGGTGAGTCTTTCCATTTAAGTACTGTTCCTTATTCAGAGACAGAATGCTTCCAAATTGTTGGCATTAAAATGTCTGTCCTTTGCTGAAAGACTGATGATGTTATGAATTTTTTTTTTTTTTTTTTTTTGGTAGGGGAGTGTTTCCACAATGCCTCCTCTAGGAAAAAATAAAATTTGAGTCTTTCTTGGGGCCCAAGATTCTTTTCTAAAACATTACTTGTTTATAAAAGCAAGTCATAGACATTGATTTTTCAAGGTGGCTTACTATTGTTCCCTTTCAGGTCCTGCAGTTGAGACCAAAGACCGGTGTCAAGGGATTGCATAAATCACTCACCGATGTGGCCATGGAGCACCATGAGCAGTGTGACTGTGTGTGCAGAGGGAGCACAGGAGGATAACCACATCACCAGCAGCAGCTCTTGCCCAGAGCTGTGCAGAGCAGTGGCTGATTCTGTTAGAGAATTTATGCGTTATCTCCATCCTTAATCTCAGTTGTTTGCTTCAAGGACCTTTCATCTTCAGGATTTACAGTGCATTCTGAAAGAGGAGTCATCAAACAGAATTAGGAGTTGTGCAACAGCTCTTTCGAGAGGAGGCGCAAAGGACAGGAGAGAAGTTCTTCAATCATGAAAAGAAAATTAAGTGTTGTATTAAATAGATCACCAGCTAGTTACAGAGTTACCATGTACCTATTCCACTAGCTGCGTTCTGTATTTCAGTTGTTTTGATATGGCTTAGGGTAATGTCAGTACAGGAAAAAACTGTGCAAATGAGCACCTGATTCTGTTGTCTTGCTTAACTCTAAAGCTCCATGTTCTGGGCATAAAATCATATAAAATCTGGATTTTTTTTCTCATATTCACATAGGTAAACGAGAACATTCTATGTATTACAAACCTGGTTTTTAAAAAGGAACTATGTTGCTATGAATTAAACTTGTGTCATGCTGATAGGAAAGACTGGATTTTTCATATTTCTTATTAAAATCTCTGCCATTTAGAAGAGAACTAAATTCATGGTTTGGAAAACACAAACCTGAAAACAAGAGTGGCCTTATCTTCACTTTATCTCTAAGTCAGTTTGTTTGTGTTATTGTGTACATTTTTATATTCTCCTTTTGACATTATAACTGTTGGCTTTTCTAATCTTGTTAAATATATCTATTTTTACCAAAGGTATTTAATATTCTTTTTTATGACAACTTAGATCAACTATTTTTAGCTTGGTAAATTTTTTCTAAACAGAATTGTTATAGCCGGAGGAACAAAGATGATATAAAATATTGTTGCTCTGACAAAAATACATGTATTTCATTCTCGTATGGTGCTAGAGTTATTCTGCATTTTCAAAAACTGAATTGGAAATCAATAGAATTGGTAAGTTGCAAAGACTTTTTGAAAATATTTAAATTATGATATCTTCCATTCCTGTTATTGGAGATGAAAATAAAAAGCAACTTATGAAAGTAGACATTCAGATCCAACCACTACTAACCTATTCCTTTTTTGGGAAAACCTGAGCCTAGCTCAGAAAAACATAAAGCACCTTGAAAAAGACTTGGCCGCTTCCCAACAAGACGTGCTGTGCTGTGCTGTAGGAACACATCCTATTTATTGTGATGTAACAGTTTTATGACCTTAAACTCTGTTCCATACACTTGTATAAATACATGGATATTTTTATGTACAGAAGTATATCCTTTAACCAGTTCACTTATTGTACTCTTTGGCAATTGAAAATCAGTAAACTATTTTGCTTGTAAAATGCTTAATATTGTGCCTAGGTTATGTGGTGACTATTTGAATTAAAAATGTATTGAATCATCAAATAAAAGAATGTGGCTATTTTGGGGAGAAAATTAAGTGTGTGTATGTGTGTGTGCGTGCACTCAAGATTTACCTCTTGGACTCTGAGAAAATGAAAGCAATAAAGTTTGTGTTATTATTTTCATTATGCAAAAGCATATGTCAATTCAAAAGACAAAAAAAGAGAACATTCCTGTGAGCCTTTCTCTGCCTCTTGTTTCCAATGCCTTTGAGCAGTGGTTTTATTTTTCTCCTTGGTCTTAATACAGATTTTGGGTAATTTAAATTTCACCTGACTTGAAAGTTGTATGGTTTATGAAATGCTTAGTGATAGGTTAGATGGTAGTATAAAACTGAAAAAAAAAAAAAAAAAAAAAAAAGCTTGGAAGCTTCCACTTGTGTTTTCATTGTCACTGGCAACTACTAAATAAGGTGAGCATAAATTGATTTGGTGTATAGATTATTTTACATAGCACAAGTCAAGGTGTGGTTCCTCAATTCCAAACGTAGATTCTTTCTCAGGGCTGGAATTTCAGCATCATTTCCTCAGCCTTTCAATTTGCCAGAGATGTCTAGTGTCCAAGGCCATCTGTTTTCATCCTATTCCTCAGGCAACCACCCTTCTCCTGTGCTTCCACATCTTGCAGTTCTACCCTGCCCCTAACTACATGAGAAACAAAGGAACAAAAGGAGCCTGTGTGTTCTGCCTTACTTCCTTAATTTTTCCTAGTTTTGTGCTATCCATACAGAGGTCAACTAGATACAGCTCCATGGAATATGCAAAGTAGTTGGCAACTTACAACTTTCATTAGCATAGCAAAGACCACTAAGTCTTAGTAAACGGCCTGTTTAACTATGTTTAATCCAGTGTTTCCAATCTTTTTTCCCTTTTTTAATATTTATTTTTTGTTTACTTATACAGTAGCAGTCCTCACACTGTTGCCGGTCGGTAAGTGGTTACCAAGTGAGGACTAACCACTTTATAATCACTTACTCATAGATCCTGTATATTTTACTAAAAAAAAAAATACATAAAGAGCATGTGTGACCTTAATTTCTGAGAAGTCCAGTAAGTATTGACTGTACTGACCACACACTTCTTTGTGTATGATATCTGTGTGTTTCATGCCTTTGTCCTTGAGTCCTGGACTGTTTTGCCGAGTGATGTTTCTTAAACAATTCTTAAATGTCATAAGGCAGGTGTTCATGTCCACATTTTTCATTTCTACATCTCATTTCTACATTCCCTCCCTCATCTAATAATTCTCATGTGCACTTGGAAAAGGTGCAAAGACCAAAGTAACGAGAAGCTACACTGGAGAAACATCTGGCATGATTTGGTTAGCCTCGGCACCTCCCTGTCTCCAGGTGCATTGACTTCTGTGTGTGATTTGGTTTAACAAAAGGCAGAAAATACAAGTTTTTCACTTAATGTAATATCATTATCTCTAAAAGGATAACGTGATAGCCCCCTTACTGATATTTTAAACTGTTTCAATTATGCATTATAAAGACAGTTAAAATTATAACATCTTTTACATTCATAAGAAGGAGTAGGAAAATTGAAAATACCGAAGAAGTCTTGGTCAGTTCAGGCTGCTATAGCAAAATACTATAGACTAGGAAGCGTTTAAACAACAGAAATTTATTTCTCATCGTTGGAGTTTGGAAATCCAAGATCAGGACACCAGTATGGTCTGATTCTGGTAGGGCCATCTTCTGAATTGCAGACTTTCCTCTCTGTGATGTCTTCCCTTTGTGGAAAAGATGGTGAGAGAACTCTCTGTGCACCCTTTTGAACGGGCACATGGTATTCCTTCACAGTCCTCCACCCTCATGACCTGATTACATCCCAAAGAGTCCACCTTCTAATACCATCCCTTTGGGGGTTAGGACTTCAAATATGACTTTGAAGGGACACAAACAGTCCATTGCAATAGATAATTGCTTTGCATCCTGTTTTCCCTACATGCCCCACATGTAATCTACTATGAAGTCTCAGTGACTTAGACTTTTTGATATTTCTTCTGTTTGTGTTTCCTTTCTGCACAGTGAAGCTCTCTTCCACCTTCCTTTCCACTGGCAGCACTGCCATTATGCTTCCAGGAATATCCAGTCACAAATATTGTCATATTATAATGACTTGCTCCCATTTTTATTCTCATTTTATTTCTCATTAGACCCCCAGGTATCTCAGATAACTGTTTTTTTAAAGTTAAGGAGATTAACTAATACATTATTCTTTGTGTCTTAGGTATTTGTTCTATAGTATGATTAATTTTTCTCAGAATTTAAAACTGTATTTAAAATATGAACATACAAAAAATCCGTGATTCATTATTTATAACTTCCTTGTGAATAATCCTGACTGACTTAAAAATTGCTGACTGATTTTGCATCATCAAACCTAACATACAGTTCTGGTAAACACTCAGTTTCCTGAAAATACCAATGTCTCCATATATCTTCATGCTAACACATAGCTATGTTCTCTCTATGGGGCACTGTTCTTGCACTTACCTAGCTCAATAATTTCCTCTCACTTTACTAAAATACTAATTATATCTCTTTATTCTCTGCCTCAGAAAGCATTTGCACACTATGTGTACCATATTCAGTTTCTTTCAAAACTGCTAACCTATTACAGTAAATCTTATCCAATATAAATTCATTCACAATTTAAAGAAGAATTTTACCATTTCTGTAGAGTATATATTTTTGAATTAATAACTATAATTTTTTAAATTACACATGCAATCCCAGATGGCTTTTTTATAGAAACTGACAAGGTGATCCTAATATTCATATGGAATTACAAGACTCCCAAAACAAAATCTTTAAGAAGTGCAAAATAATAATACTCAATTTCAAAAGTTACTACAACGTTACAGAAATAGTGTGGTAAAGTTAATAAAGTTAGACACAGAGATCAGTGGAATGAAATTGAGAGTCCAGAAATAAATCCTTAAATGTATACTCAATTGATTTTTGACAAGAATTACAAGACAATTCAATGGTTAGATAATAGCCTTTTTGACAAATGGTGTGAAGACAACAGAATACGCACACATGCAAAGGAATAACTTTGGAACCTTTCTTCATACCCGAAAATGAATCAAAGACCTAAGTATAAGAGATAAAACCATAAAACTTAGAAACACATATAGAGGAAAAATTGTGTGTCTTTGGATTAGGCAATGGTTCTCAGGACACCAAAAGCACAAGCTACAAAAAAAAAAAAAAAAAAAAAAAAAAAAAAAAAAAAAGATGAATGAGCAAGATATCATCAGAATCAAAAGTATGTGTGCTTCAAAGGACACCATAACAAAAATGAAAGGATAACCCACATTGTGAGAGAAAATATTTGCAAATTATAGATTAGGGTCCTGTATCAGAATATATAAAGGACTCTTAAAACTCAATAATTAAAAAGTCAACTCAACAGAAAAAATGAGCAAGGGCTGAATAGACATTTGTCAAAAAACATATACAACTGCCAAAACACATATAAAAACATAACAGCTTTAGTCATTAAAGAAATGCAAATGAAAATCATAATTAAATACACAGCCACTAACATGGCTAGACAGACAATAACAAGTGTGGGTGCGGATGTGGAGAAATCGGAACTGGTATATTGTTTGTGAGATTATAAATGTTGCAACCACTTTGGGAAATATGCAGTTGTTCAAAATCTTAAACATAGACTAAATATGACTCAGCAATTTCATTCCTACGCATACACCCAGGATAATAGAAAATTCTGCACAGAAATATTCATCACATTTTTCACAATAGCCAAAAAATGGAAATGACCCAAACGTGAGTCAACTGATAAATGGATGAACAACTATAGTCTATCTAAATTATGGAATATTATTAGGCAATTAAAAGGAATGAAGAACTGATACATGCTACAGCATTACGCTAGGTGAAGCCATTTGTATCATATAATTCCATTTGTATGAAATATTCAACATAAATAAATCAATAGACACAAAAACTAGATTAGTGCTGCCAAAGGTTGGGGAAAGGAGAAAAATGGGGAAGGACTGCTAACAAAGGGCTCAGGTTTTCTTGGAATAATAAAAATATTCTTAAATTAGAAAGTGGTAATAGCTGTAAAACTATGAGTACACTAAAAACTGATGATTTATACACTTTAAAAGGGTGAATATTTTAATATGTGAATTGTATCTCACTAAAGATGTTTTCTTTTAAGAAATTATACTTATATATAGTGTAGTATTTAAGAAATAAAGCTTTTTCTTCCCCTTCCCCCAAGTAAGGAATAAAGTAAAAGAAATCGCCTAAATTCTGTCATGTCAGTGTACAACATTCCAATCTACTCTCTATGAGTAGAAGTATATAGGTAAATAAATGGATGATGTGATAGAATCATTGGTATCAGTTCTGTCCCATATAGTAACATTTGACATCTATACTTTTTCCATGGCCTAATGGCGATGGGAGTATATTTTCCCACTTGTTGAATTTGGTTTTTGTCATATGCCCTGCTTGAACAAAAGGGGAGAAAAGTGTGTGCCATGTGTGTTAAGGCTTCAAGTGTGCTTGCACAGATGGGTTTGAGTTCATTTGACTCCTGCTATCACCAGGAGACATACGGCAGATTAGAATCCAATCCATGCTGTGGTGTCAAATTCAACTGAGTCCAGGCAATTCACAGATCCTTGAGTGAGAAATTAATGCTTCTTGTTGGAAGCTAATTATATTAATTCTCATGCTGCTATGAAGAAATACCTGAGACTAAGTAATTTATAAAGAAAAGAGGATCAATTGACTCACAGTTCTGCATGGCTGGGATGGCCTCAGGAAACTTACAGTCATGGCAGAGAGGGAAGCAAATACTTCCGCCTTCTCATGGAGGCAGGAGAGAAAAGTGCAGAACAAAGCAGAGGGAAGAAACCCTTATAAAACCATCAGATCACCCTGGCATGGTGGCTCACACCTGTAATTCCAGCAATCTGGGAGGCCAAGGCAGGTGGATCATGACGTCAGGAGTTCAAGACCAGCCTGACCAACCTGGCAAAACCCCA